AACGAAAATGAAAATTTGCTTGATAATTCAACTACGCTTGTTGGAGAACAATAAAAACACTACACTCAACAAGCCACCAATAAAACTCAACTGCCTAACCTATAACCAAAGTCTCCTTTTAATTTGTTTTTTAAAAAAAGCGCTTGACAAACTTGCCCCGCATGCCGAAGTTGCCCCGATCTCCCCTAGACATCTCTGTTATCATGAAAGAGAAACATGTTTCATACCTACGGGTACGAAACATGTTTCTCTTTCATGATAGCTTTAATTAAAATTATATAACACGAAAACAGAGGAATACATCGAAGTACACTGTAATCATATTAAGATAAAAATAACAAAAACGTTTTTTACCGTAGTATAACAACTGTGAAAAGTTTGTAAGTAATTATATTATTTATTTATATATTTCATAACGTTTTAGTACATCAAAGAATAATTTTCTGTACACTTAGAGAAAACTGTTAACCATTTCAAAGAAAAATACCGCGTCATAATTTTGATAATTTATTGTTCTGCAATTTCTGTCAGACATATGCATTGTGACTACTATTTTTATTTGTATACACTGTTTACATATATTTTTTATCCATTAAATTATAATAAAAAAATCTCATTAAATATGTAACAAACTAAATACTAATATTTTATAAGTATTCATTAAAATGCCTTCAGTTATTTATTTATTTTCTGTATTGATAAAATTTTATCGTGTTTCGGACATGTTAGGATTTCTATTAGACCAACATTTCAAACGGTAACGTACGAATGATTTTTCTTTTGTATATTTCCATTAATGTAATGTAATATACAATAGAATGGTTTAAAACTAATTTATATATATATCAAATTCAATGTCGAGAGCAATATCAATGTAATGAAAGAAATAAAATTGAAACGAAAATCGACATAAAAAATATATTTGTTTGTACTCTACATGTTCTGCATTATAGAATCCTATGGTTTTTCGGTTTTTTACTTCGGTTTTTCGGTCTGATTTTTACGAGTGTGTTCTTCTGCTCCTCATGTTGGCATTGGTAGCAGATATCACTTATAACTGAAAATAACTTCATGTGACAAACACTGTCTACGAAAAAACTACTGATTTTATTCGGTTATTCGGTTTTCTTATCATATATGTTACATGTTGGAATAGACGTTTTTCCACCACAAACGTTTATATCAAGCAGAATCAATGTACGATTAAATATAAATTTCGTATTAATTAATTAATTATTTGTAGTGTAATCAAAAGCTCGTTAAAACAGTAACACTCTATATGTACTTCAAATT